TTTCAACATATTTATAAAGAAATAAATACCCAATGTTTAATATAAATTTTATTTTTATCAATTGTAATTTTCCTTATAATATATCAATAGAACAATGGTGGTGTGTGTCAACATGTTTCACACGAATTCAGTTTATCAATGTATTGCTATAAATGGAGATGCTATTGACCAATCAAAACGAACCTTTTTTAGTTGCCTTTAAATAATAAATTAAAAAATTGGATTTACTAAAAATTGACGGATCAAAATAAATATAAGTAATTTTATTTTTTTTATTTTTATAAATTACGCGCTTGCTAAAACTTGTGTTAAATCTAGGATTTTTAAAATTATTCAGCAATGTTAAGCCCTTAAATTGAAAACAAAAATTATATCAGAATAGATTATACAGATGTAAAAATTATCTTATTAATTAAACCACTGATTAAAATTTAAATAAATTACTTTAAGGAACAAAAAAAAAAAAAAAAAAAAAAAAAAAAAAAAAGGATCAACAAGGGGAGCTTAATGTTGTTTTAATGCACACATACACTATTTGTGTGAATTATTTCCCCTAGCAGATTTGTGGTTTTAATTGGCCACTACCATCTCCATGACAAGATCACCTATGTACACTTTAAACACAATCACAAGTTCAAAAACTAAATTTTAGTTGATGCTTTGTGAAGAGGATGTATGGATTGAACAAATAAACAAAAAATCATTTGATTCCTCATCCAACTACATCTGCTATGAAACACCTCATCCAACCACACCTCCCACCACACTCAACCACACCTCCAGTGAGACACCTCATCCAACCACACCTTCCATGAAACACCTCATCCATTCACACCTCCGATGACACCCCATACAACTACACCTCCCATTCATACAATTTTTCACACAGTCCTCCATACAACTCATACATAAGATGTTTACAGAAATTGTCTTTCACAAATATGAGTCAACAAAAAGAAAAGGAAAACAAAATGTAAAAAAAAAAACATCACATTCTAAACATACAGAAATTTGGGTTCAAACATGAAGAAGAAATCAAACTGCATAAATAAATAGTCAAATCTGACATCTGTCAGGAAAACTGACCCTCTCTCGGAAGTGGCAGATCAGTTGTCATGACAACTGACCAACTGTCAAAATGACCAACCATCTGTCATGACAAATGAGCATCAGTCATAGTAACTTAATTACAGTAAATGACCACAAGTCATGCCAAGTGACCAACTGTCATAATAACTGAACATCTGTCATGACAACTGGCCATCTGTCATAATGACTGAACATCAATCTGAGAAGAGGGTAAAGTGTGATATTTACATACAGAGCACACACAAAAATGCTCTAGTCTCCCCCATAGAAATTGAACTATAGCCTCATCATACAAGTGCCAACAAACCACTTCTTCAATCTTACCTTCCTGTTGTACGATAAAGAGATAAACTACTATTTAAGTAGTATGACTAACTTGACATTAATATTTACACAGAATCGTTTTAAACCTTCAAAAAACATTATGGTACCGTGTCTCAATTGCAGAAATGTTGAATCTAATTAACGAGGTTCTAGAACATCTTATTGGCTAATTACAAACATATTCACAGATTAAACCCCCAACATTTGTACCTTCGCTAGCAAACTTTAGAACAAAAATTAGAAGAAAATTAGTTTAAAAAACATCACATGAACATATGGGTATATGGGATATGTTGCTATACATCATTTGACATATTATATAACACGTAGCAAAAAAAAAGGAATTATTTTCATAATCGTGACGAAGATGATCGGCTTAGGATTTATTGCTAGTAAACTTTCATACACTCTATTAGCCCTGTGTACGTTAAACCACAGTCACATCACAATCAAGTATCAATCAAACAGAAATCTATACAGATTAATTTTTTTTTACATAGATATTGATTTCAACAAGAAACAAAGGTCAGATAACTATCAAATTACATTTAAATTTACAGCAAGAAAATCAGAAATATCTGAGCAGTAGATACACAGTTTGTGAACAATTGGTTTTGTTCCGTTTTCAGTCAGTCAATCCAAGTTTTTAAATTATAAAGATAGGAACAAAACAAATGCAGTAAAACATAAAAAATAAAATTGTAACAGAAAAAGCTGGACAAAAACAACTCAATGGTCAACTTGCATAGATTTTAAATACAAAAATTTTATAAATTTTATCGTGTTTTTTTTTTTACTCCATGTGACTAAGACTATTCAGCTGAAAGATGTTCGTAATTATGATTTAAAGACAAGTAAAATAGAGCAATGTGATGATTTGGCCAGGTAAGTGACACTCAAGCACATGTTGCCAGGTGGGAGAGTAAAACTTGCCAGATAAGACAGTCAAACTTGCCAGATAGGAAAATTTTTAACTGGCACAACACTGCGAGCTAGAACAAAATGCAAAAACTTGAATTCTTGAGTATGAAGATATGAGAAGAGATCATTACAAAACTTTTCCAGAGATCTTCACAATATATTATTTTTTAAACTCACTGCTTAAACCCAACCTAAAACTCCTGTATGAAAACATAGAAAACTCAAGTAAATGGAAATAACCATATTGCTTTATACAAGTATTGGTATGATTGCTGTATATTGTTTAAGTAGGAAATAAAAGACACAGATTGTCAGCAAGACTTCAACATTATTGCAATAAAAACAAATATTTTAGCAAGGATTGAGATTGAAATTAGACGATGCCGTTATCAACAAGAGTTATCCTTCTTAATCAAATTCACAAAATAAATATTGGTTCCATGATATTATCTATATCATTTTTAGAAAAATGTACTTTGATTTGTAAAAAAAAAAAAAAAAAACTAAAATGTATTTTTAAGGATTGAACCCTGTGTAATGATGACTGACAATCTTCATGTAAGTGTAAGCACTAATGTAACTTATGTAAGTTAATACCAGGAATAAGGTGTAAACAAAAAATATGAAGTGTTTTAATTGGTAGAGTTAACACAACGACTCAATTTTTTTCATATCAAAATCTTTTGGCAATATTCAACAATGACTCTATTTTCTAATTCAATAAATAAAAAAAATGTAAATAAAATACTCCTATACATAATTTAAATTTGATTTAGTAAGTAATATTAGCAAATTATAAAAGTGGTTCAATTTGAACAAAAACAAATACATTTTTTAATTTAAAGACTTTTCATAATGTGTAGCTAAATTTGTAATTAAATGTGGTATTAAAATTCAACAACATTACTTCCTTAAGTATTTCTAGTATATCTAAAGTTTAGAAAAAGTTCCATTTACAATGAGGGGGGTTAAGCATGTTTCAGCCTTGTCTAGAGAAACATAAGCTAAAGGTCAAAGGTTAAGTACAATTAACTTGTAAATAGCTAAAGATATTTACAATCTAAGAAGTAAAATTTAACAAACTATATTATAGAGCTAAAAATAAATATTATAAAACAATGACTGAAAAAAAAAACAACCTTTTAGAATAGTTCTAAAGAATGAACCTATCTCAATACTTAAATAGTGGTAAATATCAGAAGAGTAAAGTAAAATATACAATTTTTAAAACAATAAAGAGCTATAAATTAAATAGGTTTGTTTTGTTAAAATAACACTAACATTTGTTTTAAAGAGAAAATTTAATATTGAATTATTATGAATCATGCAACCTCTGTCATGTGATATGTTCTAAGTTTGGTTTAGTTTAATGGCTGAAACTGTTAGCGGAATGTTCTTAAAGCAAAAATTCCAATCAGTTGAAAGTAAAATAAAACAGATGATTACATAACAAGATTAACAGAGATTTTAAATGTTCTTACAATCTGAAGTTAGGAAAACAAAAAATTTTGTTCAATTTTAAATGGAAATATAAAAAAAAGTCTGTATACTGTAAATTTGAAAAAAAAAACAACGGCTAAAATATTATATTTTTAAAATCTAAAATTAAATTTATTTTGGCAGGTTTCTTGTAACTAATTAACTCATTAACGAGTAAAAAATTAATGCTGTACAATAAATGGGATGATTCTTATGTGAAATGAATGTTAGAACAGCTCCAATAATTAAAGACATATTAGCATCACAATATGATACATTAGCGATAAAACAATGTTTTTAAAAAAACAGTTTCATTAAATTCAAAATAAATGTTCTTAATTATGCTAATTTGGAATTAGTATAATTAAACTACGATCAATGTGTTTTGTTCGATCTTTGGCTTCACTCCTTACAAAAATGAAATGATAAAACAGTCGAAGCAAGACATAAATTCACAATAAACTTCTCCCTGAAGGAAATGACAATGGAATTATATGTTGTTATATTCATCAGAACATTATTTTAAAAAATGCATATAAAAACATTTTTTTTTCTCAAAAAACGTATGTGCATTTTAAATAAAAAAAAAAATTAAGACAGTAATTACATTACATGTACATTGTATTCCATAATTAAAAGCAGTGTCGATGGCATGAAAAAAAAATTAATCAGGAAGAAATGTTTTCATTCTATTTTTAGAAAACAAGTTTTGTTTTGTTTCCAACGTACACAGCAGTCTCCGTATTCGTCAGTTGAGAAAACATTCCCAGACAGCTTCACAGGACAGCACTGGACAGCATTGGACAACACAGGACAGCATTTTGCTATAGATCAGTGTTATGCTACTGATAAGATACCAGTTAGCAAAGCATTTTTAAGTTTAATTTAAAAAAGAAAAAATTCATCGTATTCATATTAAAAAAAAATATAAACAAAATAATCACAATTGACATGATTGTTTCCCAGTGTCATGCTTCAGAATAATTACTAAATTGGAGGGAACCTCATTAGACATCAACTTTAATTAACGACTAAATATAGATATATCTACAAACACATTCGTCTTATGACTGAACACAATCTAAAAAAAAAAAAAAAAAAAAAATTCACACTAAATTATTTCGTTTCTGCCAAAATAATAATTACTTGTAGCATGACCCCCCCCCCCCCTATTTATAAACCAGTTGAACTTTGACCTGTCCGCCAGCTAGACCAGTGCAGCCTGGGACATGTGTTGTTGTAGGCCCTCCCCTGTCTGAGCACGGAATGTCTGTATACTGTTCATCATCTTCTTCTGATGGCCGACCAGGCTGACCCCCATGTTCAGCAGGTCCCTCACTGTTACATGTCTCACCTAGAATATGGCAAGAGTGAAACACAATGTGAAATAAAGGCATTTTTTATTCTTTAACAATGTTATAAAGGGAAATAATCAGGTGGTAGCAAGGGGAAGTTAACCAGCTTGACCCCCATGTTCAGCAGAACTCTCACGGTTACATGTCTCACCTAGAGTACAGCGAGAATGGAACACAATGTGACATGATGCATTTTTTATTCTTTCTTTAATTTGTAAAGGGAAATAATCAGGTGATAGTAAAGGGAGTTTAACTAGGTTAATTCCCATGTTCAGCAGAACTCTCACTGTTACATGGGTCACACTCAGAGTTTCTTCCAGACATCTCTTCAGAAAAAGTCTACCCCCCCCCTGATCGAAATGGAATTTATATAGAAAATATATACATTTAACAGTGTCTGCCCCCCCCCCCCCCGGGAGAAAAAGGTCTGAAAGAAACACTGGCCACACTTATGAGATATCATGGGTCATACTAATGAGATATAAAATACTTCCCGACCCATGTGCCCGACCCACGTTTTTTGTCATCAAATGTATGAAAATTTATTTTCTACTTTTTAGTCCACAAGAAAAACGTGGTTTTTTAAAAAGTTTTTTTTAAGTATTTTATTTTCTCCTTTTTAGTCCGTTGCTACACATGAAAAACGTGGTTTTTAAAAAGTTTTTTATATAGTTTATTTTCTCTTTATCTTATGACTTGATTAAGTATGACTTGACTAAGTGTTTTTAAATACACGGACTAAAAATCTTGAGCGACCGATACGCTTTAAACAGAGAAGGGGCGTAATTTAATTAAGCCTACATGCCGTGACCAGGATTCGAACCTGGGATGTCGCGGCCACAACGCGAAGTACTAACCACTATACCAGGGGTCTCCAAACTTTTCAGTCCGAGGGCCGTATTAACTATCAAATTTCAGTTCGGGGGCCAGTTTCTTCCAGGCATGTCTTTGATTTTTCTGGGCAAACTTCCTCAGCCATCGCCAACAAACGATTTTTCATTGGACAAAAAGATCTCCGCGGGCCGGATGAGAGGACTTCGCGGGCCGCATCCGGCCCGCGGGCCGTAGTTTGGAGACCCCTGCACTATACGATCACGGCCAGCGCACTCACATCGATTGGGGCCGAAGTAACTGTGTCAATAGGCCTCCAGTCTTGTCGGTATCTTTAGAAATCATGTCCTCAATTTTATGGTCCTTGGGGCGTAATTTAATTAAGCTAATTTAGGTCTCTAATTGCTAGTTTTTATGATTGCATCTGAAATTGTTAGGCGAAAATAGCCTGCATGCCAAATTTCAGATCTCTAGAGCAATCAGAAGTGGGCTAATTTTCGATGTCAATTTTAACAACAAACAAACAAACAAACGCGAAGCTGAGTTAAGAAAAACGTGTTAAAAAGAAATAGGACAAAGCAATAGAACTTAGAAGCAATATCTTCAGGTTTTAAATACAACTTCCTCTTTAAACAGTTTAATTTGCAGGGCAAAAAAAATTATAATACGCAAAAAAAAAGCAAACCCAGTTCAGTAACAAAATTTAGAATGTGCATGGGCTACAAATTGGTTGCCAGTTAAAATATCTTATGGTTTTCTATTTAAACTAGATTTAAAAGATAATATAAAATCTATAAAGTATAAACATTAGATTTGAGTAAATTAACTTTGATGATATTGAGATAATAATATGTAATGAACATTTTTATTTAATCAATCTTAGATTTATGTTTATCTGTAACATCTTTTGGGAAAACAGCTAAAGATTGTCTCCCTTCCAGACAGACTTTATAGCAAAACATAAAAATATGGACAAGTGTAGTGACATATTTATGGAACTGGATCTGGATATGGAGATGGATAATATGTATTCTCAAGTGGGAGGGGAATTACTGTGTAATATGAATGGCCCAAATATGGTTGATTGCAAATCCCCTAACTAAATACAAGTTTCAATAATTAAGGAGTGTCCCTGTTTATTTGAATGGCCTACAGATTTAGTGTTTACAAAATTTATTGGCCCAGGTTCCTTCAGGGTGGGTGAGGTTAGATAAAGAGCTAAATTCCTTTTATGGGTGAAACGGAAGCTGAAACTGAAGCGGATGAAACTGACCCCAAGACAAATAAAAGTTGTGGTGGGACTGGCCACAGTTGCTGAACAAGTAAAATGCCAAACAGAGTGAAAATTACTTTTCACACCTCCCCTGGGAGCCCATGACTCCCCAAGTTTGGGAACCACGCCTGTAAAGATAAGCAAGGTGTGGTGGTTACCTGGTCCATGGTGGTGTAGCCTGCGGCCAGAAAGAGGTTGAGGTACCGTTCCATTTTGATTGACAGCAGCCAGTCCTCTACACTGAGGAGCGACGTCATGTCAGGTGCGCTGGGGTCAATAAAGTTGTGTGGCCTGTAGGATTTTTTTAAATACAATCATTAGATCTATCAGAATACAATCATTAGATCAATCAAAATACAATCATTAGATCTATAAGAATACAATCATTAGATCAATCAAAATACAATCATTAGATCAATCAAAATACAATCATTAGATCAATCAAAATACAATCATTAGATCAATCAAAATATAATCATTAAATCAATGAAAATATTACAATTGGATCAATCAAATAAGAAAAAAGAAAATAAGTATTACCTAGAATGGTTAATTTTGTACCATAATAATTTCAAAACCATTATTTAAATTAAAATTAGCATTATTTTAATAAAAAAATGAGAACCCATATGAAGTTACTTGAATATCTTTTTAAAAATGCGTGTCTAAACTATCTACAGTCACAACAACCACACAACAAGATTACCTTGGCTTAGCTTGTTTCCGCAAAAGTTCCGGCGCCCTGATGAGCTTGTCCAGAGTTTTGACAATCTGTCCGAGCTTGGGACGGTGTGAGCGTTCCTTCTGCCAGCAGTCAAGCATCAGCTGGTGGATGGCCTCTGGGCAGTCCTGCAGGAGAGAACACAGGATGTGAGCGGGGTTTAAGTAGGACGGCATGAGATGGGGAAAGTCTTAAGTTCGAATCTTGGACTAGAGTCTGTAGGATGTACCAGAATCCACCCGATCTAATGGGTACCTGATTTGTGTTGGAGAAAGTAAAAATGGCTGGCCACATAAACAGGTGAACTCTACTTCACCTGCCACGTTGACCATCAGGTTTGAAATGGGCACTTTAGCAGGGTGGGAGTGAGGGGGAGTGGCAACATATTAGAACACAGAGTCTAGTTTTTTAAATTTCCATTGGTATTAACTGACTCAATTTTGTCATAGAGCTCTATAGATTATAGATGTATTTAAGATTTATAGGGATATGATTGTAGACAAGGGCAATAACCCTACAAATTTTGTCAGCTGTGTAGATGTATTTACATAGAACATAAGGCAATAACCCTTTAACACCTATTCTAATCATTATGTTTCCATTGACCAATAATCTTATGCTTTAAACTTATAATTAAAAACCATACCAGTAATTGATTCTGTAGTCTACAACAGTTTTAAAATATTGTAATACATTTTTCAGGTTTTTCGTCATAAAATTCTATCTTACCATAGGAGGGGGCAGCCTATAGCCTTTCTCTACAGCTTTAATAACATCCTGGTTGGACCAGTTGTAGTACGGCCGCTCCCCGTATGACACGATCTCCCACATGACCACTCCGTAGCTCCACACGTCTGACGCGGAGGTGAACTTGCGGAATGCGATGGCTTCTGGCGCCGTCCACCGTACAGGTATCTTCCCACCTGTGGTGGTGTATGCACCCTCGGTGGTGTCCGACTCAATTTCCCGAGAGAGACCGAAGTCGGCGACTTTGCATACAAGAGTTTCATTGACTAATATGTTTCTTGCTGCTAGATCCTGGTACAGAAATAATTCATTCATTAATTACTATTTTGATAAAAATAATCTAATACTTTTTTTCATTAATTACTATTTTGATAAAAATACATTAATATTTTTGTTAATTAATTACTATTATTATTTTTACAATCTATGTATTACAGAGTAAAAATAAATGTGAAAATAATTTTAAAAAAAAAACAAACCCCACAAAAATAGAACATTTGCGATAAGGTAAGGATTAGGGTAGAGGTTAGTATTTGGGTAGAGGTTAGGGTAGAGGTTAGGGTTTGGGTAGAGGTTAGGGTTTGGGTAGAGGTTAGGGTTTGGGTAGAGGTTAGGGTTTGGGTAGAGGTTAGGGTTTGGGTAGTGGTTAGGGTTACTGTTAAGACTTACCCTGTGCACAAAGCCCATCTCAGATAAATACTTCATCCCTGAGGCCACGCCCCTCATCATACCCACCAGCTGAATGATGGTGAACTTCCCATCATTGTTCTGGGGATGTCAGTTTTAAAAAAATTGTCATTCAAAGACTTAAAATTAAAAAAATGTATTATTTAAAAAAAATGGTCATTCAAAGACTTTTAAGTGTTAAAAAATTTGCCATTCAAAGACTTTTAAATAAAAAAAAATTATTATTAAAAAACATGATCGTTCAAAGATTTTTACATTTAAAAAATATGGTCATTCAAAGACTTTTAAATTTAAAAAAAAATGTATTATTCAAAGAACAATAAGAACTAAAAAGTCTGTTGCTCATAGATATTTAAATAGAAAAAAACTTGTTATCCATACTCTTATATTTACTAAATACTTTGTTACTCATAGACTTTTAAAAAAAAAACAATTTAATAATAATACTTATTTTTTTTGTAGTAAATAAAAAAAAAATTACTAATAAAAAACGTAATGTAGACAACTCTTACCCTTAAAAATGTGTCTAAAGAACCATTAGACATATACTCTGTGACTATCATGATAGGATTACCTGCAATCAAGGTAAGCAGCCAAAGGTTAATTAAGGTAATTTAATTACTTTTATTAGCCAGACACAAATCTAAAAAAATACAAGATTAAAAAAATTCCTTAACAAAACTTATTTTTGACTTACTTTTCGTAACAACTCCTTCAAGAAAAATGACGTTGGGGTCATCAAACTGACCCATGATGCTGGCCTCTGTAAGAAAGTCCAGTCTGTTTTTCTCTGTGGCGCCTGGTTTCAGTGTCTTGATGGCAACGGTCATCTCGTGGCGTCCAGGCATTCTCAACTTGCCCTTACACACATCCCCAAATTCTCCTGCACAATTTTTAACAGCAGCGTTAGAGAATCTTCTTCAATGATTTCATTACATTTCAACTAATCAGAATTATAATAACAATTTTGCATGTATTTGTCACCATACCCAGCTTTAAAGGCATAGTCATGTTCACTTATATATATATTCTGAACTTTAAATAACCCAAATGTGGTTTAAAGATATAGAAAATTTATAAATACATAAAGTTCATTAAAAATAAAGATATCCATTTGAACTTCTTGGTAAAAAAGCAGGTGAAGTAGTGTCCACCTGCTTCCATGAACTCAGCCTATGATCTGATAGTATGACTAGTTCTATGCTCAGCATTTTAAAGGGCATTAAATTACAGTTTTTACTATTTTTGATAGAGGATAAAGTAGGCAAGGCAGCAGATATTGGACAGTAAATATTAAAAGCTGCAGAATATCATTTACATCTTGCCAAGGTATAAATTACACTTGTGGTATAACAAGTCATATGACCACATCAAAGCTAATTTTATCCTCAATATTTCTACTTTATTTTAAGCATAATAACTGTAAATTTGTAAGTAAGTTAACGACAAATCTAAACATGATTAAAAACTACGGACTGACCTCCCCCTATGACTGACTCTATGGTTATATGGCAGGCATCAATCTCTCTGGTAAACTCTCGTACAGCCTGGTTTGGATCCTCGTACGTGTGGGGGTCTACGTATGTCCTTACGGAGCTGTGTACTGACCCAGGGGAGGGGAACAATGGCATGGTCACTGGAAAATTTTGAAAAAAAATCGTCAAAAAAATTGCAACATGTAGGACTATTACAAAAAAGTAATGATAATTAATTAACTGAGAAGACTAAGAATGAATTTATTTGCAAAAGGAAATTGTTTTTTTATGTATATTATGCTAGATTCGTCATCAAAATTTACAATACTATTATCTCCTCTTATAAGGGGAGATAATAGTGTACAACAGCATTTTTTTAAAATTTAGTAATTTAAAAACAAGTTCAAGTAAAATTCCTTCAAAATTATGTTTATATTATGTAATAATGAATAATGTTGATATAAATTACAATGTGTATGCATTACAAATATTTAATTTATCAGAAATATAGCATAGCAAAGCTGGCAAATTGAGCATTTGTTACTTGAAGCAAGCCAAAGAAAATTAAAAGCTATGAGTTTGGTCTGGATGACTAACAAAATCTTTTGCTGTTTTCTTATTCACTAATTTATGAGCACAATTTTGTTGTTTCAAGAAGACATTTTAAATTAATTAACATTAGCTGACAAGCATCACTGCTCAGATTAATATAAAATACAGATTATTGGCTTTACATATATATATATATATATATATTTGTAATAAGGTAATATATTCTATATTGATCTTTTTTCACACTAAAATTATTTAATTTATTAAAATGATAAAATTACTTTTTAAAATTATGAAAGTGTTATAGGTAGTTATAATAAGCATACAATTATTATAATAAGCTTTTATAAAAAAAATGTTCATAAGACAAATGTAAATTAAATAAAATTATGATTTTATTTCCTTTTTGATATGAAAAGCCTTTGTTAAAAAATAAAATTTATTTATTTAGCAAAATAAAAAAAAATATTTAAAAAGAATTGTGTGCAGAAGTTAGTTGTGAGTACAGGGTTGTGTATGATAGAGTTGCCACTAGCACATGTGAGTAAGCGAGTGTTGCCACTAACACATGAGAATGGAAGTGGTGCCACTAACACATGAGAGTGACAGTGTCGCCACTAGCACACCTGAATGGTAGTGTCACCACTAGCACATCCAAATGGTAGTGTCACCACTATCACATTCAAATGGTAGTGTCGCCACTAACATGTTAGGTACCAGCTGTTATACTTACATCCCCCATAGCCCCCGTTGATATGATGCTCCAAGGGAGGGTACTGGATGACTGATGGAGAGAAAATAAATGGATGGATGGATGGGGGGATGGGTGGAAGATTTCATTCAAACAAAATAAAAAGCAAAGCCAGGGGTTAGATTTTCACTCTTCAAGTCATTTAATTAATTAATTAATTAATTGTAAAGTTTTTAAATTTATCAATTTATAAGTATAGATTTATATCCTAACTAACAAACTAATTCTCTATGTCTAATTACTTTACTAGTAAAATAAACAAATAAATAATTATTTGATAAATTAAAGTAGATTAAAATAAATTATTAAAAAAAACAACACATGAATAAAATTAAGTTAATATGAATGAGGGTTTAAGCAAAAAAAGCAAATACAAAAGAAAAACCAAAAGGTGCCTATTTTAAATAAGCCATGGCATTTAGACTGACCACTGGTCAACTATAACCGAAGCAAAATTTTTAAAAAGGTTTTAGTACAGAAGTAAATAAAAGACTAATCATCTTGTAGCATATCAGCTAAGTAATTACTATATATTTCTCCCTTATTTCTTAATTAATCAGGTTAAAAAATATGAAACAATTTATTTGGTTACATTTTTGTTTTATTACACATTTACAATTAGTGAATCTTTTTTTTTTTTTTTTTTTTTAATACTTTTATTTGCAATTAAAACAAGTACATCAACATCACATTTTTTACATAGTTTCAAATGAAAACGAAAGGTTTTGAACATGTACATAATGAATATTTGCGTGATGTCATTACAAATCACCATACCCAGCTTAGTGAATCAATTATTATCTACTGAAAACAGTAACCCGAAAATATTAATGTAAGTGTTACTTATAAATGTAATGTACTACAAAACGATTACAATTCTTATTCTGTTTGTTAGGGATGTAATTTTTCTAAAAAAAAAGCGTTAATATGTGAGGATATGTGTCTGGCAGTTGGGATGTAAGAATGTGATGCCGGCAGCATCAAGATTACCTCTAGCCATATCTGCCTGGTTCCCTGTAAGACACAAATAAGTTTTCACACTTCTATGACTGGGTTCAGCTTACCTCCCCTTACCCCCAAGTTGACAGTATTATTACCTCCCCTGACTGAATTATTTAAGTTGTGAACCACTGATTTTAATGACTTTTTGTTATGAATAAATGGTTTTTTACCCTATTACACAATTGTTAACTTTTTGGAGTCTAATTTATGATTTGGGCATCTTGGTAAAATGGATTATGTAGTTTAAACCCACAGTAAAATAAAATTCTTTAAATTATAAGTGCACTTGACTTGAAACTGATAAATAACTTTAACAAAATAAAATTTGCCTTGTACTTTGAGGAGATTAATAAATAATTGGTAACCAAAGTCATACAAAATAAAAAAAGCAAAGGAAACATAAGTAAGGCACGCACAAATGAACAAAGGAATTGTAACAATCGTACACACAAATAAACAAAGGAAACACAAGCTTTATGGGCCACAATCACAATCATCACTTTATATTTGAACACAGTGAAGATATATTGTTAATCCATTAACAACATCTTTTAAGTTTAAAATAGGTTTATCAAGTTGTTAATACAAGGGGAGGTAACTCACCATGACTGTATGCATCACAATCTTTTTTCTCACTGCAGTTTGGGCGATTTCTGGGAATAATAAACAAAAAATGTTTTAAACGATAAAAAATTAATTGATAAATATACTGGCCAGATATAGGACAGCTTAGTCTAGCTGTGTAAAAAAGCAAGAAAGTACCACAATGTGTTAGAATGTGGAAATAAAAACAAACTTACCGTCTCAGTAGGATTATGATCATAATGGTAGCAATGGCCATACAGAGAATGACGGCCACAATAGATCCAGCAATAATTCCTATAGGGGTGCTGGCAGCTGGAGAAACAAAATCTCTTTTGTTATTGGTCAGAAATTATTTTAACAATTTTATTCAAAATTTCTTCATAAATTGTTATAAATATTGGGAAAAGCTGTATTCATCTTTTTATTTCTTTTTTTTTAATCCAAAAATTTTATTTAAAATTAGAAATATTTTTTAAAAGTTAATTGGAAAATAATAATAATTGTTAAGAAATAATAAAAATAACAACAATTAAATTTAATTTCAATTTTAATATAAATGATAAAAAACAATCTGAATTGTTATTTGTGCAAAGAAAATACCTTTACTAAGAAAACAAATTCCTTTTGTCTATTGTTTAAAAAATTAATATAAAAAAACTAATAATTTGACTATTTAAAACAAAGGGTGATACTTACATTCCTTCTGACCAGTTTGGACCACCAGACGTTCACTGAAATCTCCCCACCCACCGTTGGTTTCACTCCGCACCTAAAACAAGAAAAAAATTAATTCCAATACGGAAAAAAAATATATAAATGTTTAGAGAATATTTTGCTATTAGTCAAGTCAAATAAATGTATCAAAGTGTAAATCTGGGGTGTGACTCAGGAAAACAAAATACCCAAATTCAGAATGCAGCCTTTTTTAACTAGCAACCAATCGAGCTGGTCAAGTTTGAGTCCACTTGACCCCTGGCTAGCTAGAAGTGACACATGAAACTACACACATGACACTCACCTGGAACTCGTACTCCGAGTCAAGCATGAACTCAGTGACCGTGAAGTTCTGCGCCGTGGTGAAGGCGCTCATCTGGTTTTGTTCCTGCGAGGTGGGGTAGTACCTGACCTCATACCTCAACACGTTGTCCTGGAGATATGTGTCAAGGTCACATTAAGTTCAACTACCTATACATTGAGCCCATCTAGGTATCATAATAAACTCATATCGATGATCGCAGTAAACCATAAAAATTTCATAATAAGCCCATACAGATGATCAAAGTAAAATATTTCATTATAAACCCATACATATGATCAGAAAAAGCCCATACATATGATCAGAAAAAGCCCATACATATGATCAGAAAAAGCCCATACATATGATCAGAAAAAGCCCATACATATGATCAGAAAAAGCCCATATATGAACAGGTGAGACATAACTATTTTAACCACAAGCCTCAAACTAGCACCAGCTGTACAGGAAAATGTGTACAAATAGTTCACATTTTATGTACTTTTAAGCCCTTTGGTACACTGTATTTTCTTCAACCACAAAGACCTGTCGGATCCTACAACTTTTCTTCCCAGATGTGTACGTACATCTTACAATCTGAATCGTATCTACATATAATCAGCTCGGACCGGCAATAAATCAAATCTTTTAATTTTTTTAAACATCAATATCCCATTTAAACATTGAAAACAAAATAAAGTCATTAATTTCTTGAGTGTCTTAAGCATAATTAAGAATTCCAGTTTGTTTTGCTTCCATTTTGCAAAAAAAATTAAGAATAACTATCACTTATCTCATGCTTTCCCCCCCCCCCCCCCACCCCCACATAAATCCTGCACCTAATGCACCCCCTCCCAAACTTTTCCTTATCTTCATTCTAGCTTTAAAAAAAAAGATTATCTGATCAATTTGAAAAAAAAAATCTGTAGATAATTCAAAATGCATTCACGAGCTTTCGGGGCTAGTAAAAACTTTATTTGAAAAACACAACTGATGCATATATCTTCAAATCGTATGTTGCATTTGGACCACTTGTGTTCTGAATTCTGTTTAAAAATAATAACAAAAAATAATAACGCATTCACGAGCTTAGGGAATTTCCATCCGGAAATATTTTTTTTCAGGGCAATAATTGAGTTATGTCCCCTTGAGTTTCCAATGAAACCGCATTAACTTGGTTATGGCCCTTTGAACACGAACGGAGGCCATGTGTTAGGCATTTATCTATGACAAAAGGATTAGTCTGTTGGCCAACTGTTGGCCAAATTTTAATTTGAAAACGTTTCCTACAGAAACGCACGAGGGAGATGAATAAATTTAGACCGGGGTTATTTGCATAAGTATTTTGAAGTGGATTGGATAAGCGGACGTTTGCAGGGGGGAGTAATTAGCCATTAAAGATATGTAAAGGGAGATTAGGGAGTGAAACGTCAAGGCTTAATGCAGGAAGGAAATTATCCTGTTGTTAGGATTAAACGATCGCATGTAGACAAAGGGATTAGCCGAGTCTGGGTGGTTTAATTGATTTATACGTGTTTGTTGGCAGTTAGACACACGGCAAAAGAGGTTTTGAACCGGTACTTAACAGAGCCTTAACCCACCCACTATCTAGGAGAAAGTTTTTTTTTTTAACCTGGAATTACAAATTGACATTTATACATGTCACGTCAGCTCAAGGACGCTTGAGAGGGGGGGGGGTACTTGTTTACAGGAAATGAATAGAATCGTGATAGAACTCAATCCGATTTCTTGTAGACAGAATCTAATCGTTTAAACACAACCTAACCAGTCTACCCCCACCCAGCTAACAATGACAACCTGCGTATATTGAGTCAAGATGAATTAAGTCAACAAATGTTCCTACCATCCCGATCTAAACAAAACATTCTGTCTACCTTAATCTAACTAAAAACGTCTTACTAACCATAACCCAAACATACCTTAACCAAACTTAGGTATGTAACTAACCCTAACCCAAACAAGCCATAGCGTCAACCACAATTAGGTATGTGACCAACCCTAACCCAAACATTCTGACATACCCAACTAAACACAAACGACTTAAACCAAATGTGTAATAACATAAGCATCAGTATATTTAACCCCTCTAACTTTGTAACCCTTCTCCACCTAGATAACCCCCTCCCACCTATGTAACCCCTCCCCACCTAGATAACCCCCTCCCACCTATGTAACCCCTCCCCACCTAGATAAACCCCTTTAAATTATGTAACCCCTCTCCTCGTATATAGCCCCACCCCACCTAGATAACCCCTCCTACCTATGTAACCCCTCAACACCTAAATAACCCCTCCCACCCATGTAACCCCTCACACCTAAGTAAACCCGTCCCCACCTTGATAACCTCCTCCCACCTCTCTCAACCCACAGGTAAACTCACCTTTATACTCTGAGGAACGTCCCAGGCGATGGTGATATGCTTGGATCCGATGCTCACTCTCCTGACCCCCACGACGGTGGCTGAAAACACAGAAAGACCCCCGGGTAAAACACAGACCCCCAGGTAAAACAAAGGTGTACCCACAGGTAAGTCAGCCTCACCTTGACAACCGTACCTTATCAGCACTAAACATGTAATCTATACCCGCCCGGTTGTTCCACACTGAGCTGTTGTATTATTTACACCTGTCTTTTCTCATTCACTTCATCAAACTCTATTCACGTCAGTGAATACCAGAACAGTACACCACCCACAATTAATACAACATTTACCATCACTGATATCAGATACCATCACTACCATCAGGTAATTTGTTCACCATTATACATCATCAGTGATAATTTGTATTACGCTTATCTTCATTCTCAATCTATTACATCTAAATACCATCACGACCATTACCCCACTCTGTAGCTAACATCAAAACATCTGAATCATGGCGTCCATCACACCATCATACAAATACCATCCCTAATAACTCTACCTACCATGTAAGTAAAGTTCCCTTTTCAAACCTGACTGACTATAGGACAAGTGAAGTAGAATTCACTTGTTTCTGTGACCTCAGCATATGAAGAGGTCAGCACTATGCCCAGCCGCTTTTATTTTCCATAACGTGAGTTAGGTACCCATCAGAGTTAGGTGGACTCAGGGACGCTCTACTGATTAAACTCGAGACTAACGAGTTAGCAACCAAGCTCTCTACCGCTAGGCCACACCGTCCCACCTACCAACCATGACCATCCCAATAAAAAAAAACACAACTCACATCCGTATTGGCCGGTCTGTAGAATCAACGGCTCACTGAACTCGCCCCACCCCTCCTGTGTCTCACCCCTCACCTGTAATAGAAAAAAGTGTACACATAAATAGAAGTAAAAAAGTTAAATTGGCTAAATAACATTTGCTTACGTTTATGAAATAGAATTGACTAATATATATATATATATATATATATATATATATATATATATATATATATATATATATATATATGCTTACAATCAAACAATCATTCATACATGCATACATACATACATACATACATAAAGACACATATAGATAGATAAGCAAAGTAATATTTGCACTAAATATATATATATATATATATATATATATATATATATATATATATATATATATATATATATATATATATATATATATATATATATATATATATGCCTGGATTTCAGAAGTTTTGAATACATTATATGCATGTGTAGAAGTTAAAAATGCCATGTTTTTATTTCAGTCTAACTCAAATTAAATTTACATACCGTCCCGGACTATTTTGAACCTGTTGTTCCAAGCGTCCTAATTTATTCCGTCACGTGGCGATATGAATAGCCATCACGTGGTCCTAATTACGGCTAATGACAGAGCCGAGTTTGTCGCGGGGAGGCAGGGGACGTGACGGATGTGAAATCGATAAACGTATCAATCAAACGGTTCCCCAACCCCGCGATTGGTCTTACCTGCCCTGAACTGCCTCTTAATTGATAATCGATTGATAATCGAATATAGAACTGTATCATTACCCATGACTCTACAGTCACCATATATATATTTAAAAAAAAATTATTTCTCTTTTAAACAACGCAATCGTAAAACACAACCCATGCTCAATTATTCCCCAGCTAAAAATGAATTAAATCAAATCAATCAGTGATCGATCGATCGATCAATCAGCCAGACACCCAGGCAGTTCGCATGTAAATCGATGACTATTATAGCTAAACAAACGCCAGGGCCCCGACTCTATTCAATTTAAATTTCCATATTTCGCCCATCAATTGAGGGCTGGGGTTGGTGGCATCCAGTGAGAACCTATTCACCTTTCAAACTCGACTCGCCGTTCTTTCAGCCCTCGCTGTGGGGGAGGGTGGGGGGGGGGGGGGGGGGTAGTAACAATCAAGAGTTGAGGGTGGTGGTGGAGGGGAAGAAGACAGAAACAAAGCAATATCTATATCTATGTGATCTATATGCAGATATCAGAAAGGAACCGGGCGCATGACGAGGGTGCAAAGAACGATTTACTCTATAATAAAAAAAAAAAAATAAAAAAAATAAATAAAAAAAAAAAAAAAAAAAAACACGCACCACAGGTCACCGTTTGACCTTTGTTATCATTTGTCTTACTCAAGGGACACAATTGGTCCGTTCAGAGAAAAAAAGGGAGACAATGCTGACGTATCTGATTTTCATTTATCATTTTAAAAAAAAAATCCCCCTTTTCCAATTGGGCCACAGACAAGTACCGTCCTGTTGAAGCCTTAAAATTCGGAGAACCCTTTCATTTGTACCGGCAGGCATAAAGAGGAGACAATATCCGCCCCCCCCCCCTACCCACACCACAACCGCCAACCACTTGTAACTGCTGTACCCCCCCCCCCTACCCTCCAACCCTTCAACCGCCCACGTATAAAAAAAAAATTGGGAGACCCGAAAATAAAACGGGGGAAAAAAAAATACCCAATCGACTAACAGCGGATTTAAAACGAAATAGGGGCCCTGTCTTCTTTTATAAAGCCCTCGAATAATTTATTGGAATTATATGGAAATAATGGTGTTTAACTGGCCCATTTCCTCACCCGAGAAATACAGAACTAAGACTTGCTACGGTATTACTTCCCCTCATTGTCGCGGGGGGATAACTGGAAAAAAAGAAACAATTTATCAAGTCTGGTAGAGTTACGTCCCTTATGTGTCGGTGCACGGAGTAGTTTTAAAAAAAAAAAACAGAATTGATGTCCGGTGTGATTAAGTCCAGCCAAATGACTCAAAACTCAGAGGTCAGTCTTGGAGTGACCACAGCGTCCCCCCCCCACCCCCCAAACAAAAGCGTCACGTTGTAGTCAAATCCGTTTTGATGGTACCGCGGGTCGAAGTTCAGGGTCAGACCCGTGTGTCACACATCCCCCCCCCCCCCTTTCGTCACAAGGACACGGGTCCGGCCGGACAAATTGAACGATGACGAAGGGGCCGCTACTCTCCAAGACGCCCTGTCAACACCCTCTCAGCGGCGAGATGATGGAGAGACTTTGGATCGCGGCCGAGGGTGGGCCCATCTCCAGGCAACCGACGCCCGGTGTTTGTGGAGGGGTAGAAATATGTGGAGCATACTGACAGGGTTCAGAGGTCGCCGGTCCTGATGGTGATGAGTAACCAGGGTAAACATTCACAGATACTAAAAAAAACTATAAAAAAAACTAAAAAAAAAAAACTAAAAGAAAAAAAACCACCTCAAATTCCCAGAGAAAACAACGCTCGAGTAAATAGAAAACTGTGATTGGTTCCTGGAGCCGTCGACAGCCGAGCTTTGACAATTTTCGAGGGTCAACTCGAACCCTTCACCACAAGAGTGCATCGACTAAAGATTGGGGGGGGGGGGGGGGGTAGTGTTATAGTAACCAACTACTGGGCGGGGGGGGGGGGGGATTTACTTTATTGCAAACATATTTTTGGAGAACTAATTCTTGAAAAACAAAAACCCATCTTTATGGTAATACTTTGTTTAATGTGTTTTCTCCAACGGTAAAACCATGTTAGGAGGAGAGTTAGTATTATGATTAGGGACAAGGACTAGGGTTAGTCCCCTTACATACATTGCGTTCTTTAATAAGTACCCCAAAAAACTTTTTCTGAAAAAGAAATTATCTAAACAATTTTTTTTTAAATTACCAAACAACTCTCCATGTGTATATATTTAAGCTTTAAGAATTTAGTTCAGTTTGTAAAAAAAAAAAAAGAACTGTCTTTTTCTCTGAAAATAATTGCTTCAGAAATTACCAACACAGATAAGAAAACAGCCAAGATTATGCACGTCCCCGCCCCCTTTTCTTTAACCCTGAGGTAATCCAATGTAAAATATTTATAGAACGTGCCCCTCCACCCCTTACTCTCACCCCCCCCCCCCCCCCCCCCCCCGCCCCAGACGTAATCTCAAACCAAAGCCCACCACAGTGATAAGTGTGTTTACTAACATCGTGTGCTATTACCACCCCTACATCTATCAAAAGTGTCAGGCAAAATGTTTACAATGCTGATTCCTCTTATCTACAAAAGGAGGGGAAATTGAAAATTTAAATTAATCGTAATTAATGGCCCATATCACCGATCCCCCTCCCCCCAGTGCGCAGCCCACCTCCTACCCACGGGCATATCACGTTTCCTACAATCAACCACTTTATCGAGCGTAAAGGACAAATAAAACCTAGGGGGTAGGGTGGGGGGGGGGGGAGAAGCACGGACGATGCATTGAATCAATTAAATTTGTTTGCTTTTTAATTATTTTCACCTATCTGTGCGCGTGATTAGATAGCAGTAATTAGCACAGGCTGACATTACAAGGGAGACTATCAGGGGTTGGGTTAGTTGCAATACTTCCCTCCCATTAGTATTTAAAAATATATGTATATGTATATGTATATATATATATATATATATATATATATATATATATATATATATATATATATATATATATATATATATATATATATATATATATATGATTATTAAATGTTATGTAGAATTATACGTATGTGTATAGAAACTGTAAGAGGAAAATAATGTATGAGGAAAATAATCAATGAATGGCTTTTCCCAAACACCCCCCCACCCCACCCCTTCCCAGCACACAGGAAACTTGGCCCCATGCATCACCCCTCTCCCCCCCCCCCCTCTCCCAATATCTCGATGCGATGGCAAAAAAAAAAAATATCCGTCAGAATTCATACATCTGCCATTCACAATTTCAATATTTGGACAGAAATTTCCAGTCCATGTTATCCACGGGATCTTTGCCTCGCCTTAATTCATTTATCGATTACATCACTTCTAAGCTAAGGCTATTTATAGCCCATGGCTTGCGCATTTCTTCTGCGCACACACAAAAAATATTCCATATTGAAACATATTTTACTGACGATACCTTGCGAGAAAATGCAATGGAATCTAAAATGACGATTTTATCTGGAGAAATATTTTTTCAACATCCGGTTTTTCACACCATCCACCATGCCCAACCTGTTATTACCCCCGCTAATTAACTACCCAATCAATAACAACAAAGTAACACCAACAACTACGCTACAGTCGCAACCATTTTCTGACATTTAACAAAAAAAAATAATACTACTCTTCCTGTTCTGCTTCCCCCCCCCCCCCCAATACTGTAGAACGTGTCACGTGATTACCGTAGATAAACACGACGAGTGGACGATTACCGCGGGTAGGTGTGGAGGGGGGGGGGGTGGCAAGATGATCAAAAGACGCGAGGACGCGCCGAGAGCCGGGTGGAGCTGCTCACGAGTACCCAGCACGGTCGATGTATCGAGCCTCGTAGGTGAGTACACGGTGCGATCAAACAGGTCGTCACGTGACCTACTTCATGCGGTGAACAGGTATTGGGGGGGGGGGGGGGGTGTGGCGACAGCGGCGTAGCTCAACTTAATATGGAATGGTGTTCAGTTTTATACATGAGTGGAAGGGGGGGGGGGGGGCGACACCGGCGTAGCTCAACTTAATATGGAATGGTGTTCAGTTTTATACATGAGTGGAAAGGGGGGGGGGGGGGTTGAACGGTGTTATAATTACCTAAGGGAAATTGACGAGGGCAGTCAATAAATAGAATGAAAAGAATATGAGTAATGTATATACTCAGAAAGAAAACGTTAAACATATATATTTTGTAAACTAGAAAGAAAATCTTAAGGATAATGTAAATAAACGAAAGGATAATGTAAATAAACGAAAGAAAATGTTCAGGATAATGTATATAACGAAAGAAAATGTTAGGATAATTTACATAACGAAAGAAAATGTTCAGGATAATGTA